ATGCTGATTCATGGGCTGGGGATGTGGCTCAAGCGGTAGTGCACTTGCCTGGCTTGCGTGCGGCCTGGGTTCGATCCTCAGCACCACATGCAAAGATGTTGTGTCCACCGAAAACTAAACAATAAATATTAAAATTCTCTCTCTCTCTCTGTCTCTCTCTTTAAAAAAAAATATTCATTAAAAAAAAGGATGCTGATTCATAATGGGGATGGGTGGGGAGCATGGGAGGAATGAAGGAACTTTAGATAGGACAAAGGGGAGCGAGGGGGAGGGAGAGGGCATGGGGGTAGGAAAGGCAGTGGAATGAGGTGGACATCATTATTCTAAGTACATGTATATGTATAAAGACACAAATGGTGTAACTACATTGTCTATAACCAGAGATATGAAAAATTGTGCTATATATGTGTATTATGAGTTGTAATGCATTCTGCTGTCATATATAACAAATTAGAATAAATTTTAAAAAAACATAGACAATAAAACAGTGATTATTATGGGGGGGGGGTGGTAAAATGTAGGTCAAAGGATACAAAATAACAGGTATGTAGAATGAACCAGTGTAGAGATCTACTTACAACAGGAAGACTAGAGTTAATAAAACTATTATATTTGGGATTTTTTGTTAATTAAGTAGATTTTAGCTGCCATTGTCACACATATTTTAAAAAATGATGTGAAGTGATAGATATGTTACTGTGCTTCACCATGGGAACCATTTCACTGCCTACCTATATCCTGTAACATAATGTTGTAGTCTTCAAATATATATAATAAAATTTATTTTAAGAAGACCAAGCTTTGTTGGGTGTGATGGTGTGTGCCTATAATTCTAGCTATTTTGGAGGCTGAGGGAGACGGATCACAAGTTCGGGCAACTTAGTGAGACTCTGTCTCTGCAGTCTATATAATGGAATATGTGAAAAATTCGTGATATGTGAAAAAGAAAATGTGTCAAAGATGTTCCTAAATGTTTGGGTTTTGGCTGGGTAAGGAACGTCGTTGGTAGGGTAAAAATAAAATAAAGATATTGTATCCACCTACAACTAAAAATATATATATTAAAAATTAATTAAAAAAGAGGTCTTCTCTAAGTTGTCTATTTTTATTAAATTCTGTATAATTTATATTTCATAAATTTTAATATGTACTACTAAATATCAAACATATATTGCTAAAATACATTCACAACTTAATATATAATACTGATAGAAGACTGGTTAAAAAAATAAATGGAATGATATTGAAAACCCTTTGGCTACTTTTTTTTAATTTTTTTTTTTTTTTTTTTTTTTTAGTCATTGATAGACCTTTATTTTATTTATTTATATGCGGTGCTGAGACCCGAACCCAGTGCCTCACACATGCCAGCCAAGTGCGCTACCACTGAGCCACAGCCACAGCCCACCTTTGGCTATTTTTAAAACAATATTTTTAGTTATTCACTAAGGGAAAGTTAGCTCTTTTAAAAAATAAATGAAAATTTAAAAAGCAAAGTCTATAATACTGCATTGAGAGGAGGATAATCTAGAATCTAAGCCTTGGGATAAATGTGTTGATTTGTTATTAATAACTATTTTCCCCTCGACATTTGAAAGAATGGTGTCCTACTTGTCACCAGAAGTCTAGTTTGATACACCAGCTTTTAGTGTGGCAGTTTTGAAAACATACTGAATCTTATTAAACTACCAGATTGCTATTTATTAATGATTCACTTTTCATGAATTTATCATCCATTAAATCATTTTTTGAGATAATTATTCTTCTAAAGGAATATTAAATGCTCTCGTGTTTTATTTATTTGCACATAGAAATATGTAACTTCATCTCTCATTTGCACTATTTTAAGGGATTAGGGCTGCCGTAAATCTCATTAGTAATATTAAAATTGTCTTCCCTTGACGGATACTTCATGTTCTATCTAAATGAACAAAGTTTATAAAGAAAAAGGAAAGCTGGGTTCTGTATTTCCCAGCTACTTAGGTTTTTGAGGCAGGAGGATAACAAGTTTGAAACTAGCTTCCACAATTCAATGAGACCCTGTCTCAAAAATTTTTAAAGGACTAGAGGTGTAGCTCAATGGTAGAGTGCCTCCTGGGTTCAATCCCCCATATGAAAAAAAAAAAAAAAAGGAAGACCTTCCAAAATTGCTGAGAATTTGTTTTCCTTTTTTTCCTTTTAAGTTCACAGATTAGAATGTAAGTAATAATATTTAGTGTACAAGTAGAATTTATGTCAGTATTAAAACAAACTTTTAATTTTGTATTGACACAGATTTCCTTTGTATTCTACAGGTATAAATTAATTATGTTAACGTAGCATAGATTAGAATGCCTTTTTTACTAATAAAAACTCCATGGGGCTGGGATTGTGGCTCAGTGGTAGAGCACTCACCTAGCATGTGCAAGGCTCTGAGTTCGATCCTCAGAACCACATACATAAATAAATAAATAAATAAATAAATTTTTTAAAAAGCCCTCCAGAGTCAATTTGAAATAACTATATCAAAATATAGTTATAATATATATCTATAAGACAGAGAGCTGGTAGCTTCATGCAAAGCAGAATTAAATTCTAGATTAAAAAATTCTGGAAAATAGTAGTATGATTGTTTCCTGTAAACATATATATCCCTGTAACATTATAAAGCATCTCCCTGTGCTTTATTTTTGCCTATTAGCTAAATTTAAGAAAATGAAATTTTACAGAGAAATAATAATTTCCTTCTTTTGGCTCCCAAACATAGTCACACATTTAGCAGATGGTGAGACATGACTTAACAGCAGTATTTTCTAAAACAACTTGGGGGTTTCATTGACTGTAAGCTCAAACTGGGAAGCAACTTTTCCTTAGACTAAGGAAGAACTTTTTAATGATTAGAACTATTAAAAATGGAATGACTAAGGTGGAGGTATAGCTTAGTGATTGAACTTGAATGTAAGGTGTGCATCATGCTGGGTTCAGTCCTGCATATACACAAGAATGACTGGCTTTGGGGGGGATTGTAGTAAATTCCTGTCACCAGAGATTTTCAAGAAGGACCAGACATGTTCCTGCCAGGGACTTTGTATAGGGTGTAGACCACATACTTCTCAAGATCTACCCAATTCTGTTAACAGGTTAGATTATTTCTCTCATAAAAGTGATACACAAATAGTCACCTAACCTGTGATGCCCTTCCTTTCTCGCATTCCCTCTTTTTTATTGGTTATTGAAATAAAGTGGACATCTGGAAACATGCACATATCATAACTGTCAGCAGCATGGTGAGTGTCACAGCCTGAAGAGTCATACATCCAGTCCCTCACTGCAGGAGCATCCAGCGGTTCCACTGAGTGCTCCTTCCATACACGAGCCACCCCCCCTGGAGCCATGGCTGTCCTGACTTCTAACAGTACTCAGGCTTGAGACTGAGCTGCTTTATAAATGGAATCGTTCTTTTTTTTTTTTTTTGGTACCGATGATTGAATCGAGGGCACTCGACCACTGAGCCACATCCCCAGCCCAATTTTGTATTTTATTAGAGACAGGATCTCACTGAGTTGCTTAGCACTTCCCCTTTGCTGAGGCTGGCTTAGAACTCATGATTCTCCCACCTCAGCCTCCTGAGCAGCAGGGAGTACAGGCATGTGCCACCGCTTCCAGCTGGAATCATTCTCTTTTGTGTTTGGCTTTGTATGTTTTATCTTGAAGATTCATACCATCACATGTAGAGCATTTATTTCATTGCTGATGTGAGACTATCAGAATTGATTTAATGGGCATTTGAATAGTTTCCTGCTTGGGGATTTTTTTTTTTTTTTAACAAATAGTATGTTGTTACAGACAGTGACACACCTCACCATATTCACCATGTATGCATGCTTCTTTTGGGCTCCTACAGCTAAGAGAATTGCTTTGTTATTGAATGTGCATATACTCAACTTGTAATTACTACCAACTGATTTAAAAGCATTTGTATTCAGGACCAATTCTTTGTGTGTGCGTTGTACTGAGGATTGCCCAAGGATGCTCTACCTCTGAGCTACATCCTCAGCCATTTTTATTGTATTTTGAGACAGAGTCTCACCATGTTGCCCAAGGCAGCCTTGAACTTGTGGTCAGTTGACTCAGGACCAATTTTAACAGGGTCCTACCATATCAGAAATGTTAATTTTCCTGAAATCTCATGAGCATTTTTTATACCTTACAATATTTTGATAACTTTATATTTTGAACTGTGGTTGTTTTATATATACACCTTATCTCCCTTTCTACATTGTAAGCTTCTTGAGACATCTATCTCATTTATCTTTGTATTTTCCAAAGTATCTTGCACAGTACCTTGCCTAAACTAGGCTCCAAACCTGATATTTTTATGCAGGTGGATGAATAAATTAGGAAAAGTATATATAGTATTAATCTTAGGAATGTTCATACATTGAAAAAATATAAACAGAAGATGCAAAAACAATAAGGGCAATTTTCAAGGACTGAATAGAGTTAATTTATTGATATTTATTCAGATTTTTCTGAATTTTATAAGCTTTTATATGTGAGAAATTACTATGAAGTTGAGTTGTGGTTATCAACTAGTAGAATTAAAGCCTGGTGTTATCTTCCACATAAGCTGCATTTGTGAAATGGATTTGAAGATTAATGAGAGGATGCAGAAGAGATGAGAGTTGTGTGTTAGAGTAGTACTGACAACACCATAACCCTGGTTGAGTCTCAACTTTATCCTTCCTCTAGATCCTTCTGAGGCAAGAAGTAATGATTTCATTAGATATGGTAGGAAGGCCAAATTTTATGAGCCAAATAGAATTTTAGTAGCTTTTTAATGTTAATGTTGAAAATTGTTAAGTTAGAATAGTAAAGATTTGCAGGTGTTTTCCCTTTTCATATTTTTCTCCATATTCCAGATTCTATTCAATGAATACATATTACTTTTAATTCAGAAAACTTTAAAAATAATTTTTGTTACAAGAATTGCTTTTCTAACTGCCTTTCATTTATTTCAGTCTTGGCCTGACTATGAGGATATCTATAAAAACGTGATTGAAGTTGCCACATTTTTAGATTTGCCTCGTTTTCCAGACATAACTGAAGCCTGCTACCTTCATCCCAATGTCCTGAGTATGAAATACCTAATGGAAGTGAATCTCCCTGGTAAGGTGTGGTGTCTGTGGTGAGGTGTGTCACTGCTGAGATTGTGAGAAGTAGAATGTAGAATCCCTTTGCAGTCATAGACTACTTAGAGCCACCTGAAAGGGTCCATAGTACCATGAGGCTTCATTACAAAATCCTTTCTTAAAAGAATTCAGAAATTTAAAATGGTTAAAGGACAACTCTTAAGAAACAAAGGTCTATCTTAGTGTGAGAGATTTATGCTTGAGAGAATATATGTGGTATTTATAGCAAGTTTGCTGAGTGCAAGCAAAGTAGCAAATATTTTAGTATGTGTCATTAATGACCTGCTTTTAAAAAATGTAGCACTTCTTTTTTGCACGAAGCATTATTACTACATAATGAGTTCTAACTTTAAAAAAATCCCAGAAGTTAATCTGTGGTAACATTTTTGTTGTTAGATAGCATTTGCTATTTCCAGTCTCTAAAGTAAACAAAGATGGGAGTCTGGTCAGATCACAATGAACTCTCTGAGGCACTGACAGCCTTTAAAGAGAGCCTCACTGTGCCTTGCTCACAGTACACCAAGACACAGGTAACCCTGATGGAATCTGCTGATGGAAGCCAGCCCTGAATTTCTTGCTAGACTAGAAATGTGAGAAAGTCAGGACTTTTATTAAGAGAAAATGCAAACATGTTATGATTACATCATTGTTTAAGCAATATCAGAAATGTGATTGAATGTATTTTTGTTTTAAAATTGGGTCTTATGGGTTGCCCCGAGTGGTCTTGCATTTGTGGGTTCAAGAAATCTTCCCACTTCGGCCTCCTAAATAGACAGGAAGATAGGTGTGTGCTACATTCGCAGTTGGAATGTATTTTAGAGGAAGGAAAATGCATATGTGAAAAAAATGCCTATAATCAACAGTCTATATACATTAGCTAGCTATGAAAGTAGAAATGTTAGTAACAAATATCAATGTCTATAATTTTAAAATATTTTTTAAAACAGGAACAAAAATAATTTAAGCTTTCCAAATGTATCATTTATAAAGCTAAGAAATGTGATTTAAATGAGATTTGAAAAGACACTATTTGATCAGAACTCCAGAATTTGAAAGATCTTATTTCTGTATTTTGATGTGTAACACAGATCAAATTACTCTTTGGCACTGTTTTGTAAATATTTCTTCGATGGTTCTCACAGGGATGGAAAGTTTTTGTGTTTTAACACATATTCTAAAAAACTTGAACTTATAAAAATAGGTTATGGAAGGGACACATGGATTACCAAAATATGATAGTCTGGTTAATAGCTAGTGTAGTTCTCATGTTTGTTGTGCAGAAAGAGGGTAACAGTGTTTTCTGGATGCTATTGTATAAAAGTATTTCTTACCTGAATCTTCCTGAGAAGAATGAGTAAAATTAAATATACTTTAGTATATGCAGAGAGACATTATTATCATTTGGTATTTATTAATTGATTTTGGAGGCAGTATTTTAAAGAACCAGGGAAGAGAAATTTCACTTCTTGAAATCTGTGCAACAGAAATAATTTGAAATATGGGAAAAAATTATATATAAATGTTACTGGTCTCCTTATTTCTAATACTGAAAAATCAGAAACAACTTAAAAATCCATCAAAAAGGTAATATTTACATAAATGATATGTATATATAATTATTGCAACATTATCTAGCTTTTAAAACAATGTTTATGAAGAGTTCATAAAAGATATTTGTTATTATAAAAAAACAAAACAAGCCAAATTATAAAATAACATGACCACAGCTACATGAAATGAAAATATTCATAAAAATATTAAAAGTTAAACACCAAAATGTTAAAGGAGATATTTCTAAGTTATATTTCATGATTTTGTTCCCTTTCTTCTACCTTTATTATCCTATAAATGTCCTATATTGAGTTTGTTTTATTACTTAGCAGGGGAAAGTAGTTAGCAATTTTTTTAAACAAAATAGGTCTACAAAATAAGATGTGATAATCCTTGAACTTTAGGATTGAGATTTTAAAATGTCTGAAATTGGTCGCAAACCACCCATACTTAAGATTGTAAGAGGACCTCTGCAGTGTGTTCAGAATTCATAAATACTCCTCTCAATAGTGCATTCGGTTGTATGATGCCATTGACAAAAACCAGAGAGCTATGAATTTGGTGCTGTTACATAGACACACTCCTGGGCCCCTGGAGGTGACTTAAGTATGCTGAGGCAACAAATGCCCTTCATTGTTTTCAATATTGATTGACTGATTATCTCAAGTAATGGTTGCTTATATGGATACACATGTTAACTACAATCTAGTTAGCCAAAGAATTTAATTCACATCTTATTGTTTTGTTCTTCAACAGATGAAATGCATGGATTAACCTGCCAAGTGGTAAAAATGACTGGAATAGGAGAAGTAGATTTCCTAACATTTGATCCCATAGCTAAAATGGCAAAAGCTGTCAAATACGACATAGAAGCTGTAGCTGTCATTGTGGTTGTATTGAAACTGCTCTTTTTATTGGATGACAATTTAGAATGGTAAGTCTGTGTCAGTCATACAGCAAGTAATGCTTTCTTATGCCAATCTTAGCTTTTCTTAAGTGGTAGGGTAAACATTGCTTTTACCTAATAATTCAAAGTAGAGGATTCCATGTGTTATCTCAGTGAGAAACTGTAGATACTGGCTAGTACCAAGTAGTGACACACTCTCAGATAGCGCTTTGGCTTCGTTGATGTCAGTCATTTGACCATATTTCATTCATATTCTTTAGGTAGCAGCGTTTCTCATTATCCATACTTCTGAGTTTTAAAATATTATCATAAATCCTAAAGAATCATTTCAGCACTTCATCTAGATACCTTTAGGCTCTGGCATTGTCTCTTAAAGATTGTTTTAGAACATAGAGGAATTTTACAGTGTTACTCCTTCCAAATGTCAACAGAGAGTCATAGTGTTCATAGGGTCTTCTTCCCTGCTTCAGTGACTGCTTCTCCACGAAGATTTGACATCAGTTTCAAATTACTGTTTTGTACTTTTCTTTAAGAAGAATTCAAAATTTAACTGTCTAAATACATGATTTCTAAGTAAATTGATTTATTATTATCTCCAGGTCTTTGTCTGATCTTGCTGAAATACATAATGAAGAGAACAAGCAAGGTACTTAATTTATCAGTCAAATGCAAAGTGAATGTAGATGATGGATTAAAAGATGAAAGAAATGTAGGCAGAAACTTGAATAATACACATGTGCACATATTTGTCTATACAAATGCACCTTGTTTACCAGGGATATTTTTTCATAATTATCTAATTATATCTGTGGACTACTAAGAAATTTCAGTGACTCTTTACTTTCAACTTCCCCTCTTTAGCCCGGCTAGACAATGAACTTACCATCAACTTCCTGACAGACCACCCTGTCTGTTCTGAGGCCCCAGCCTTTGCTCCTGCTTCTCCCTCTGCCTGAGTGCTCTTCCTTCTTATCACTCCGTGGTAGTACTCACTGTATATTCTTCCTAGAATGTGTGCAAAATAAAACACTTCTTTCTGTACAGTGCTCATGTTGGCATCTATATAAATTGAAAGATGGAACTAGATGTTTTCTGATGTCCTTTGTAATGCTAAAGGTGATCCACCGACTGTGTAATGTGGGGGTAAAGAAAGCACTCAAACCTGTCTTCCTTAGAGGCCTCAGAATCATTACTGTCAGCAGGGCAAGGATTATTGTTCCCATGTCTTTGTTCCCCTGTTGTCCTGCATTCCCTTCCTCCCCTCATTGAGGAGGAGACTGAGAGTCAGAAAAATTGTGATTTACTAAGGTCAAAGAACCTTGAGTTGTATTAATTATTACAGTTGTCCTCTATGCTTACAGTTCTTTTGGTAGTTTGCTTTCCCCTCTGGCTGTATACCTACAAGGCCATATTATTTTAGGTCAAAAATGTTTTTAGACATTAAAGACACTGTCTTTGTTGGAGTATAGTGGAGAATAATCCCCCTTTATCCTTGACTGTGCTTAATGCTGTTGTACTTAATGTTGCTGCATTTTGAACACACACCAGATGTCCAGTACAGTCCATTTTCTTCCTTTTCTCTAGAATCTGAATTAGGATTAGAAAGAACAGAAATAGTTGCTGATGAAACTAGAAGTCTGTATTCAGCTGTTATAGCACATTTCACACATTTATCATTTGCTTTTCAATTCATGTGTTTGCTGAACATGTTGGAGCAGCGTCAGACTGTGTGTTCTGGCTATTGGAATTGGGATGGGGAGGAGACCTGATTGGGTAGTGACAAACAAAATGTTCCATTCTCAAGGAGGTAACAGTCAAGTGTAGGAGAAACTGACACTTCAGAAGATGCTTACAGTGTAATATTGGGGTGGGGGGCACAGTACAGGTAGGAACTTAGAGGAGGAGTGACAAACTACTCAGGAAAGTCACATTAGAGTATGGCAACAGTGACTCCATTCATCATTTCCAAGTGCTATTATGTAAATCTTTCGTTAAACATCAGTGAATAAAGACCCAAGTGAACAGTGTATGTTATTATTATGTGATTTATTTTGCTAATAATCATGGATTTCATTTATTTCAGATAAGCCATGGTTTGAGTTCAGAAAGTGGTATCAAGTCATGAAGAAAGCCATTGATGAGAAAAGACAAAAATGGGAGGAAACAAGAGCAAAGTATGTTTTCTTCTCACTTTAGATTCACCTACTTTATTTCTGTCAGTTACTTTACATTTGAAAGCTGAAATTTCTATACTTTTCAGTACTGTGACTTTTTTCCTAGAAATATCATTGTAGCCCTATACATTCTAGTTAACTATTTTTTTTTTTTTTTTGGCAGTCCAAGGAACTAATCCAAGGGCCTTGGGCATGCTGCTCATGCCCTACCACTGAACTATACCCCAGGCTCTATTTTCTCCATTTTTCTATTACTAACAACTATTAACCAACATACACTCCCCTTTTATTTTTTATATTTCGCCAGTTTTTCATGAAATCCACAGGGTACCACATTGTCCTTAGTACTTTGCTTTATACAGTTTGCATGAGTCTTGCTTGTGTTTCTAATACTCCTCCCTCTTCCCCTTCATCAAAATTCATGATTTCCCATCTATGCCTCCCATTATTACAAAGGTTACAAATGAAATGAAACCCTGTGATATATTTACTTGGAATGTTTCCCCAAAATAATGATCTCAGTGAAAATCAAAAACAAAGGGAAGAAAACAGCAAGTATATTTAATTCAGTTAACCTTGTTGCTTGATTTCTCTTTGATCTGTCATTCAGAGGTAGGTCCATTGTGATAGAAAGGAAAAAGCAACCCTTTAGGGATAGATAGTGCTGGGTTTGAGTGTGACTACATTATAGACTAGTGTGACTTCACTTTCTAGCCTCAGTGCACTGAAATTTTAATCACTATCATATAAAGTACATTTCCATTTATCTCTCACATGGTTTCATATATATTCCTAGAACTTTAAATCTTTATGAGATGTTGAAGAAAATGTCAACATCTCTGTTGTTTATGTAAATGTATAATAGTACTAATTCTATCAAGTAATTATGTCCTTTGGGAAATATTTAAATTCCTCAGATTATTTAAAAGAATAATTTACTCAGCTTCAGTTTCCTTATCAGTAAAATAGGGCTCTTCAGCTTTCATAGCAGGTATGCTTCAGAAGACCACTGGTCTGTGGGACTAGCTGAATGTGAGAGTCCTTGCAAGAGGCAAAGAATATTGTGCACAAAGATTCTTGATGTTCTTGATCAAATTTCTAAAAATGCAGCCATGTAGAAAATATACAGAACAAGTTACAAATGAGAAGCTGGGTTTGATTAAAGCAGAACCAAATGTTAAAAAATTAGAAAGCCAATTTCGGTTTACCTGCTTTAAGCTGGAAATGAACTGAGTCCGGCAAGAAAAACAGTACAGTGGCAGTCATTAGTGGAAGTGCCTCCCCGCAACTAGTGGGCATGACTAGTGTAATCCTCATTACATGTCTTTGATTGCTTGATGGGAAACTAATATAATTAAATGTATTATATTAAAAATATTTCCATATTATTGTCATGTTACAATCAAGAAGACTGATATAGGACATGTTTAGGAAACTTGTTAAAATTAGTGGTTAAGGTAATGGGGTCTTTGGAATCAGTTTTTTTTTTTTTTTTTTACTTGATCATATTCACTCAGATTATTTCAAAGATGGTAGTTCTCTGAATAGAAAGGTTATAGGAAGTTTTGAAAGTTAAGTAAAATTTTTCTACATATTTTCATAAAGATGACATAATTGAAAGATGAAGTTTCTTTAGTACTATCTTTAGCATGTTACTTTTAAAAAAAATTTATTATCTTGAGAAAAAAAGAAAAGGTACTTTAATGTATTTATTATCTAAACAAATTTGTTGGTCACTGTTTGAGTGAAGATACTCAGTTATGAGAAAAATGGTAAAAATAGTTTGTGATTAAAATTTAAAAATATGGTTAATCTCCTTGGCTATAATCCTGTGTGTAAAATAAAATGGGTCTTAGTAGTTATGAGTGCAGCAGCAAGAGCAAGAGACCATCTTGGAGAGTCTGTGTTCCTTCTGTGGTGTGTATTGGGCCCAGTGCTGATGATTCTGAGGGCCCGGAGCTCCAAGGCCATGCTGCCCAGTGTTTTGGTGGTACTGAGGTATTACTTATCCCCACCCACTTCACACTTCAAACATGGCCCTGTTCCTATTGTACTGTTACAGTCAGTGTAGACTTACAGACATTTTACTACTTCAGGGGAGAATTTAATAACTAAAAAAAGTAAATCTGTGTATAAAATGCCATTTTTCCATGGGGACTCCAAGCCCCAGGGAGGTTGTCCAGGGGCTGTCTTACCACAGTCCTCCTTCATAGTATGTGCTGCCGACTAATCCACACGTGTGGTGTGAACACCACTGACTGATTTTAATCACCACCACCTAATGCTGGCACAGGGCGCTGTGCAGTCACCACCTGTACCTGTCTCTTTTTCCCCTATCTCTCTCCAATTTAAAATATCAATTTCTTTTTTCCTTTCCTTTTGTAGTTTGTTTGTTTTCAGTGCTGACAACTCTAAATTTCTAATTTTTCTTTCTGTTCCTCTGGATATCATTTTTCATGTTGTCAGATGAAAATGATTAAAACACTTTCTACAGCTAATCATGGGTCCCTATGCATGAGATGATAAAAAACACTAGTAAATAACAGTTGGAAACCCCAAAAATATTACTAAGCTGCTTTAGTGACTTATTTGTCATAAGATGTATTGAGAAGAACATGGAGGAACATTTTAAAGCATGTAGAAGAGCCCTGTGGCCTTTTGGGTTAGGCAGAAATTTCTTATATGATATCAGAATCATAATTTATGAGTGAAAAATATTGATGAATTGTACTTTATTTGAAGAAATTTTCCTCAAAAGACACTTAAGGGAATAAGAAGCCAGATATTGAAAGAAATTATGTACAAATCACCTATCTGATAAAAGATTTTTATCTATAATATAATAAGAAAACAGCTCAGTTTTTAAATAAACAGACCAAAGATGATGTATTGATGGCACATGAAAGATACTCAGTATTATCAGTTAGTAGGAAAGTACAAATTAAAACCACATACAATATCCATTACAACAGATTAGAATGACTCAAGACAAAACAAAAACAAAAACTAATCATACCAAGTGTGGGATTGCAAAATGGTACAGCCATTTTGGAACATTTGGCATTTTCCCATAAAGTTAAGCATATATTTAATTACAATATCAAACACTTTCCACTCCTAGATGTCTACCCAAGTGAAATGAAAACTTATGTTCATACAAAAAACTGTACAGAAACGTTTATAGTGGATTCATTCATATTCATCCAAAACTGGCAGCAGTCCAAATATCCTTCAGCTGGTGACTGGATGAACAAACTGGTATTTCCATACAATGCAGCACCATTGAGCAATGCAAAGGAACAAATCTACATCCAACAGTGTGAAAGAATCTTAAATGCATTACACTAAATGAAAGACTCAAAAATAAAATCATGCTAGGGTAACTCAAAAAGTTACCCTAGCATGATTCCATTTATATTATATTCTGAGCAAGGCTGAACTTATAGGAACCAAAAAAGCAGACTGATCATTGCTCAAGGTCAAGGTATAGGAAAGGACCTGGAAGATTTTTGGAGTGATGGAATGTTCTGTATGTTAATTGTAGTGGTGATTATATAACTATATGTGTGTGTTTGTTTTATTTTGATACAGGATCTCACTAAGTTGACTTAGGGCCTTGCTAAATTGCTGAGGCTAGCTTTGAACTTGCAATCTTCCTGCCTCAGCCTCTCCAGCCACTGGGATTACAGGCACTCAGTAATGTGTGTGTTAATGCTAATCATAAGTACACTGAAAAGGATGAGTTTACTATATGTGAATTATATTAAATTTTTTATAGTTATAGATGGATAGAATGCCTTTATTTTATTTGCTTATTTTTATGTGGTGCTGAGGATTGAACCAGTGTCTCATGCATGCTTGACAAGCACTGTGCCACTGAGCTACAGCCCCAGCCCTAATTTTTTTTTTTAAATAGGGAAACAGATCACATAGAGATGAAGAAAATATGCAAGTGTCTTCCAGCTAGAAAATCCTAAGGCCTTTGTGGCATGGGGTTTTTTTTTTTTGGTAGCTTTATGTAATGGGAAGAGGTAGGTACAGTATAGCAAAGTTTTGAAGAAGCTGTAATTTCAGAGGGGTTGTCCAGACAGTTGAGCATTGTTATCTTAAGTCTCCTTTCCTATCCTCTGGGCATGTGACTCTAAGGAAGTAATAATGCCTCCTTGATTCTACTTGTGGAGGTGTTTATTATAAATGAATAAGAAGCACCTATCTGGGCTAGGCATTCTTAAGAAATGTGTACAGTGAGTACACCCATGGACTGCGATTAGACTATTGAGTTTAGGGAACTTCTTTATTACTTTAAGTTTTGTTACTTTTATCATTTAAGGAAATAAAATTTAAAAAGTGAAGACAGACTCAACTACCATGGGGTTAAATGACAAGCTCTCGGATTTATTTTATTTTTTTAATATTTATTTTTTAGTTATAGGTGGACACAATATCTTTATTTTATATTTATGTGGTGCTGAGGATGGAACTCAGTGCTCCATGCATGCTAGGCAAGTGCTCTACCTCTGAGCCACAACCCTAGCCCTCTCTGATTTATTTTAAATGTGGTATGCTTCACCAAATTTTAGTTTATACATAATTTTAGGAAGATTATCTCCTATGTTATATTGATTACAAATCTCTACTGCTTCCTGATATTTAGAGAAATTCATTTCTTCTTTCTCTCTTGTTTTTTTTTTTTTTTTTTTTGTACTGGGAATTAAACCCAGGGACACTTTACCATTGAGTTACATTCTAGTTTTTACTTTGAGATCGAGTCTTGCTAAGTTGCTGAGTCCATCCTTAAACTTTCACTCCTCCTGCCTCATCCTCCTAAGTTGCTGGGGTTATAGGCATGTGCCACTGCATCTGGCCTAGAGAAATTTTATTTCTGTTCTTAACATTTTAAATCACTGTGGAAATTTAAAGTAAAAAGTTAACTTCTCTCTTTTATGTATAGTCATGATTATACTGATTTGATTAAGTATTTCTTAAATCCTTGAAAATTTTCAATTTTTCAATTCATTAAAGCAATCATTTGCTATCATTGTATTGTTAAAACCCCTACTTTTATGAATATTTTCTTTCCCTTGTTAAAAAGAATGGTAAAGGGACTGGGGTTGTGGCTCAGTGGTATAGCACTTGCCTGGCATGTGCGAGGCTCTGAGTTCAATCCTCAGCACTACATAAAAATAAATAAATAAAATAAAGATATTGAAACCATTTACAGCTTTAAAAATATTTTTTTAAAAAAAAAGAATGGTAAAAATTACCAATTGTAAGATACCACAGGTAGATAAATACAAATCCTTATATTTCTGACTTCTTATTTCTTATCATCTTTTCCAGAAAGTCCACAGATAAGAAAGTGCCTACTAGCCAGGCAGTTAAGAAATATCTAGCTGCATATAGTGGCACACACCTGTAATCCCAGCAGCTTGGGAGGCTGAGGCAGAAGGATCACAAATTCAAGGCTATCCTCAGCAACAGCAAAACCATATCTCAAAAAATAAAAAGGGTTGGAAAGTAGTTCAGTGGTAGAATACCACTGGGTTCAAGCCTAGTACCACAATGAAAGGAAAGAGGGAAGATCTAGATAATAAAAGGATTCAAAGAACCTGTACGGGTATTGTCTAAATTATTCCTCACAACAGTTCTGTAGTAAACTAATTAGAGATGTTAAATTAATTTGTTTATTCATTTATTCAATAACAATATTTAAATGAGTTCCTATTGTATGCTGTTCCTTCTCAACACAAGGGACATAAAGAAAACTGAGGTAGTCTGTGCCTTTGAGAATCTCCATCATTTGTCACTTAAGGTCCCTAGACGTTTCACTAGAAAGTAGCAGAGCCAGGTCCTCTGATTCAATGTTCTTTTCATTGCCACAGGTTATGAAAGTCCTTCACTTCAGGGAACTCAGAATGAAAATGAGATTTTTAAATGAACATTGTTATCTTTGTTCCAGAACTGCAGCATCTGCTTGGCAAAGTTTAGCAGTGGTCACTATAACCAGAATCAAACATATCACTTCCCTTTGGCCTGAGTTTAGGCCTGGTCACTGATAATCTATAGGAATGCGAGATGACTCTTAGTCTTGCCCCTGAGGGGATGCTGCAGGGCCAGCTCAATCCCACATCCCTGTTTTACAATAAACCTCCCTGACTGGCTTTCTCTGGCAAGTATAGGTTGAGTCAGTGCAGGGAACACTAGTAGGGCTTTACCATCCTCGTTTTCACCAGGAATAGGATAGATTTCCAAAAAAGACTGGCATTTATTGTCTACTTTATGAGTTTCAGAATCAGAAGTACCACTAACTTAGGCAAAGGGCAGTCAAGGCAAAAGCGATAGGAACAATCATTTATTAGATGGCTTCCCTTTATCAGAATATAGATAAAGACAGAATATAGACAATATAGATTGTCTTGTATATCTCTTTTACAAATTGTGATTAAAAAGCAAGGGAATTTTATAGTGAGAGAAACCTGTTTTGTTTTGTGTAATTAATAGCTTCTTCAGGATGCGGCAGCATGGTAGGGGGAGCACCCCATTCTGTTGGCCTGCTCTTACTTAGTTCTCCTTCTGGGGTGTGAGCTCTATAGACAGTGTAGACATGTGCTAATAGGCCATTCCAAGCCAGAGCTGTTAAACTGAATATCAGAAATTCCAGATACTGCTTGGAGAAACTGTCCTGAATTGTGCTGAGGTGCATTTTTTTCTACCTTGCACAGGTACATGTGGAAAAGTGAAAAACCACTCTACTACTCACACATCGACAGACCAGTAGTATATAAAAGAAGAGGTGAGGAGCTGGGGTTGTGGCTCAAGTGGTAAAGTGCTTGCTTAGCACCTGTGAGGCACTGGGTTCAATCCTCAGCACCACATAAAAATAAAATAAAGATATTGTATCTGCCTAAAAAAAAAAAAGAAGAAGAAGAGGTGAGTTGAATTGTTTCTCACTCATGCAGGGTAGCTAACAACACAGTCGTAGAATAGCTAGATATCTTGACTTGAAAAGTGAATGCATAAATAAATTTCCTACTTCTTTGAAATGTTCTAATGCACATATGCAGAGGAGCATCCCCCTCTGCAAGGAGTATCCGTAAGAATCTCTTTATTTGAGGAATGTGTCGTTATTCAAAACAGAGCTTAAGTTCCCATCAGAATCTAAAATCCTGTATTTTTATGACTTCTAGAGAATTTCCCTTAGATTGTCTTGTATGTTCTCTTTTACAAATTGTGATAAAATATATACATATATAATTCACCATTTTAATCATTTTTAAGTAGATCCCTTATGCCCCCATCTAGTTTCAGTTTTGCTTAAGTTACCATCATACGTTAGCATCACATGTTTGTCAAAACTGAGAACCCAGGGCTGGGGATGTGGCTCAAGCGGTAGCGCGCTCGCCTAGCATGCGTGCGGCCCGGGTTCGATCCTCAGCAGCACCATATACCAACAAAGATGTTGTGTCCGCCGAGAACAAAGAAAAAATAAATAAATGTTAAAATTCTCTCTCTCTCTCTCTGTCCCCCTCTCTCTCACTCTCTCTAAAAAAAAAAAAAAAAAAACTGAGAACCCAACATTGCTATCAAGGGAACTCCAGGCTTTGTGATTTAATGTTAGTTTTTGTTTTATTCCTTTGTTCTTTTTCCTTCATTTCCAGAAATGGTGGTAAATCTACAAAAGCAATTTAGTGCACTGGTTGATTCAACACCAACTATTGAAAAAAAAAGCCCTTCAAGTTTTCAGTTCAACTGGGCTAAAGAAGATGCTGATAGAACTTGTTTCCATGGACATAGCCTCCAGGGAATCCTGATAAAGAAAGGCCAGTCGCTGATGACCAAGAATTCATTATACTGGCTTAGTACCCAGAAATTCTGTAGAAGGTACGTGATGCTTTTAGAACACAAAAAAACAGGCATGATGAAATCTCCAGTTTGGCCTGAAGGTATAGTCTTTCTGATTCAAAAAAAAAAAAAAAAATCACATATGTAAAAGAGCCAGAGAAGCTGGTAATTAAACCCAGGCCCTTGAACATACTAAGTAACCACATACTCTACCACTGAGCTACACCCGCAACCCACCAGAAGATGGTAAGCTTATAGTCAAGAAAATCAGAATTATGGACTGGGGCTGGGGCTCAGCCATAGAGCACTTGCCTAGCACGTGCGAGGCCCAGGGTTCAATCCTCAGCACCACATAATAATAAATAAATAAAATAAAGGTATTGTCTCCAACTACAACTAAAAAATATCTTTAAAAAAATTTCAGAATTATACGTTGAGTCTTATGTAAGAATTTAGGAAAGCTGTAAAATCAAGAAATGTGATGTCTCACAATTAACACAAGCTATTCCCACTAGCTAAATTAACCTGCAATGAGGCTGCCAAGCAGTAGAAGTGTCAGTGCTAATTCAGAGAACCCACTGTATTTTTAAATACATATTTTTTCTGAATGACATATATCATTCCCCTTTACGTCTTGGTATTTCCTTAGGTATGTCCTGAGAATAAAGATATTCTGCTAGACTGATCTGATAGGTCTGTGCTTTTCAAAGGGTGCATAGGCAGATGTGTGGATATTCTTAGAGTTCATGCCATGTAGAACATAGTGAGCTATGAGGAGACCTTGACATAATTAAGATTAAATAGTCGAGGTTTTCTTCTCTGCTTCTCTTCCTCAACGGTAACTTCTGTAACTTAGACGGTTTCAGTAATACCATGATTTTCTGTTCCACAACTATTGCCCACTTTGCCTAGTTGAGACCACAGTCTAGAAGCACAGGGTGAACAAAAAAGCCTTCATCCAAGCAATCAAAATGTCACAAAAACCACAAAAAAATTATTTATTTCTCCGAGAGCTTGTAGACTGCCTCCAAGTGTTTCTGTCCAGCTGAGCTATCTGATTTCCAGAAGCCTAATAATTGGAAAAAAAAAAAAATTAGAGGGATCTAATGGGTACTTTGCTTGTAAATCACAACAAACATAAATGACAAACAATAGAGGAGCCAGCACCAAATCCAAAGCTGACAAAAGCACTCAAATTACAGTGGTTTGAAGTCCCTTCACGACATATAACTCATACCTCCATGTCACTGAGAAGGTCTGATGGTGTCTACTTTAACACAGAACTTGTCCCACAATGCTGTGTGCTTGCTTTGGATTTGTTTTTTGTAGCCATATTTGCCATATTTTCTAACTTTTACAATAAAGCAGACAGCTTGTAATAATATAAGGCTTTAAAAAATAATAATAATATAAAGGCTTTAAAACAACTACAATATGCTAATATGCTTAGTTCAAGATAGTCAAGAAAGCTGGGTGTAGTGGCACATGCCTATAATCACAGTGACTTGAGAGGCTAAGGCAGGAAGAGCACAAGTTCTAGGCTAGCCTCAGTAATTTAGTGAAGCCCTAAGCAACTTAGTGAAATCCTGTCTCAAAATTTTTTTTTAAATTTAAAAAGAGCTGGGGATGTAGCTCAGTGATTAAGCATCCCCTGGGTTCAATCCTCAGTACCAATAATAATAAGTAATACATAATTCATTTTTTTTAAAGATTTCCTTCCAGGTGGTTGAAATGAAGTCTTTGATGCTAAAGAAAGCAGACCTTCAGCTATATAGATAATTTTTTAGACAGGACTCACTTCTGAGGGTTTGGAAGAGACGCACTTTTATTGTAAAATGATGATGAGAGCACTGGTGCTTAGAGAGCTAGGCAGAGCAGGGCCCCAGCAGCACTCCAGGGGGGAGAGTGGTTTGTCCCTCCCAAGGCAGAGCTAATATTCTGTGAATCTACACCCTCATTGTTGTTCACTTGATAGTAGCCCCCATGTTCAGGTAGGCCAGTTATGACAACTGGGAGGTCAGAAGAGCAATCTTGACCTGCCTGTAAGGGGCAGATGGTTCACCTCTCTCCATAGGAGGGAGTGGAGCTGTGGTTTTCTAGTTCTGTTCCACAGGAAATGGAGGTGCTTTGTGGGTACCACAAAAATTTGATTTGAATATTTAATTGTTCTTTTAAAGCTATAGTAAAAAGCAATACTCATATATGAACATGTTGGACACCACCAAAACATTAATTTGTGCTACCCAGTTTGCTTTTTGTGTACATTCAGAGACTATTCCTTATTTCTTTCCCATACATTTGAACTTACCCTCTCTCTCTGGTACTGGGGATTGAGCCCAGGCATGCTCTACCACTGAGCTACATGCCCAGCTCTTTTTATTTTTATTTTTATTTATTTATTTATTTAATATTTTTAGTTGTTGATGAACCTTTATTTTATTCATTTATTTACATGCAGTGCTGAGACGCAAACCCAGTGCCTCACATGTGAGGCAAGCACTCTACCACTGAGCCATAACCCTAGCTGTTTATTTTTATTTTGACACAGGGTCTTGCTAAGTTGCCCAAGCTGACCTCGAATTTGTGATCCTCCTGTCTCCTGAGTAGCTGAGATTATAGACATGTACTACCAACCTGCATGCACATTTGAACCTCTAAGAAAGGTTATGCCTTTAAAGCACTATTGTCTTATAAATTTAGACCTGTTTTATTGGGCATAAAATTGTTTATATAAACATTTTGGGCTGGGCACAGTGGTGCATGCCTGTAATCCCAGAAATGCAGGAGGTTGAGGCAGGAAGATCCCAAGTTCAAGGCCTGCCTGGGCAATATAGCAAGACCCTTTCTCAAAATAAAATAAAAATGGCTGGGATATAGCTCAATGGTAGCGCACCCCTGGGTCCAATCTACAATACCACACACACACACACACACATAAACAAAACAAAACTTGAAGCATCCATTTACCATACTCATTTATGTTACATGTCAAGCAGAGCTCAAGAGACGTCACTTGTTCTACTCACTGCAGAATGAATGGCAATGAGAAGTTAATAATGTGCTGCATTTTGTTTTATAGCTTATAACTTTAGGGAAGATTTCTGAGTTTATGATAAAGCAGGTATCCATTTTAAGTTGTCAGTGGTTTAACTTGGAAATAACAAGTTCTTAGTGTATCAGGAATATCTGATTCCTTTTCTTGTCTTTCTGGGGTAGAAATAGAGCTTTCCTTAAGGTCCGTAAGTTCACTTTTTGTGTGTGTGTGTATGATAACATTTTGTCTGAAAAAATCTCAATATAACTGAAATTAAAAGGGAAGCAAAACAGGGCTTGGGATGCATCTCAGTGGTGGAGTGCTGGCCTAGGGTGTGCACTGCCCTGGGTTCAGTCTCCAGTACCCTCCCCGAAAAAAAGAAGGAAAGCAAGAAATCACTGCATTTGGAGGAATTACTATACATGGCTTATGTTTGATCTTTATTAAACCAAGCAGTGAACAGATGATACAACTTTTAAATTCCCTACTAGTTGACTTTATTCTGTATTATTAAAGTTACCTTAAGATTTTAAGTGGAAATGAAAAATGTTTAAAGTGAACATTTTTTTTTTTAAAGAGAGAGAGAGAGAGTTTTTTTTAAATATTTATTTTTTAGTTATCGGCGGACACAACATCTTTGTTTGTATGTGGTGCTGAGGATCGAACCCGGGCCGCATGAACGCCAGGCGAGCGCGCTGCTGCTTGAGCCACATCCCCAGCCCCAAAAAGTGAACATTTTTGAGCCCTTAGTATGTGCCAGGCACTAGGTTAAGTGCTAATATGTATTCTTACTTAATCTTTTTATCATCCTTGAGAGGTGCAAATGCTGTTGTGTTTTTTTGTTTTGTTTTAGGTTTTTTTCCTAATTTACAAATGAGAGAACTAAGAGCAGCTATCTAGAGCCACAGATGATGGTGGCATAGCTTTATGATGCATATGTGATTCAGCAACATAGGCCCCATACATTATGTAAATCATAATATCTCAAATATTATTTGTTCACTTGCTTTTTAAACTGTATTAGGGCTGGTTCAAGCATATTCAAAAGTAGAGAGACAAGAATAATGAACCCCCTATGCCCAGCTCAGCACTTGTGGGCATGGCTAGTCTGCTTCACCCAAACACAACTCACTCCTTCATCCTTCTACCCCCATGGTATTTGGAAGTAGATCATAAACATTATAACAGTTGTAAAAATAAAACCCTGATACTATTAATCAGACATTAAAATTAATAGTAATTTTTAATATATTATCAAACATGCAGTCAGTGTTTAGATTTTTAGTTATCAGTTTTGTAATGAGTTTCACTCAGAATCTAAGTAAGGCCCATCTATTGCAAGTGGTTGACATATCCCTTCAGTGTTTTAGTTCCTATAGTTCCTCTCTTATCGCACTCCCCATCCCAACCCCTTACAATTTACTTATTGAGTAATGCAGGTCATGTGTCCTGTACAACTTCCCATAATCTGGACTTTGCTGATTATAGGTCGTAGGATACCATTTAATATGTTCTTCTGTGCCCTGAATTGCTAATACTTTGGTGAATTGGAGATTGGTAGCATTAATTAGAGATTTGGTGATAGTAAGAGATTTGATCAGATTTATTTCTACTGTTTTAAAGTATATGAAAGTATATGGTAAATTCTTCTGTCAACATTCCATACAGTATGGCACTCAACATTATAGGTCTGGGATCTTATTTTGGATGGAAGTTAGGAATTATTTGTTTTCTTTTGTTAGCTTTTAAAAAACGTGCAATCCCAGCTACTTAGGAGGCTGAAGTAGAAGGATCACTAGTTTGAGACCAGCTTGGGTAACTTAGCAAGAACCTGTCTCAAAATTTAAAAAAAAAAAAAAAAAAAAGTGGGGGTTGTTGCTGAGGATGTAGCTCATTAGTAAAGCACTTGCCTAGCTTGAGTGAGGCTCTGGATTCTCTCCCTGACTGTTTTTGCTTTCTTTGACCATGTTAAGAAGAGGGACAGGGGCCAATGTGGAGTGGAAAT